TATCCGTTTCAATGGGGGGCACCTTCATTTGATGCCGGTGAAGCCTTTGCCATGATGATGGCGTCGTTCGTTGCTTTAGTCGAGGTTGTTTTCGTTTTCCCAATTCAACGATCGCTCTGTTTACTGACCCATGAATTCATCCAATTCCTATTTTCTTCAGCGTCTATGTCCTTCGTTTTCTGGTTTTTAAAATTTTCAATGTCTTCGAAAACTGAAAGGTAGTTTTGTTATAATTGACAATACTTTTTTTCTCTGCTCATGTCAATTTCAGTCCTCTGGTGCCTTTATTGCTGCGTCCAGATATGCAAGTGCCACTCAGCTGCCGCCCTCGATTCTCAGCCGTGGTGTTGGTTGGCAGGTAATGTAAAACTAGCTTATCTATGTAATATAGATCGAGCCACATGGTGTTCTAACCCAGTTCCAACAATGCACTTTTCGGACCGATCTTTTCTATGTTCTATGAGAGCCTTCTATAGATATAACTTGTCTCATATTCTAATCTTGATAGATTCATTTCATTATACCCCTCCCCTCCCCGGGAACGCACCATTCTTATAGAGAAAGAGGCGCTTTCACATCTGTGTGACTCGAAGTTTCAGCGGTCCAAGAGTTGATCTACTTTCAGTTCTTTTCTTGCATATTGGTAGTATTTAAGGACCGCCAGAAAGATGAAGGGTGACGATGTAATAGGGATGTTGCAAGTAAACGAACACTATATCATCGTCATCAAGCTCGTACCTGACACAAATACTAGTTTTTTTCAAAGATAATCGAGTATTAGGGGCACTACTCCTATCATTATACTTGTGGCTTACCTCCACTAATCTTTCGAGAGGCTTTGGCCACTCGAAAATAGCTTTGGGAGACGGCATAATTTCATTGACAAACTAATAATTCCGAACAAAGGCGTTTAAGATGATTGAAGAGGTGGATGGGATCCTGTTAAGCCTTGATAGGCGCTATTATGCCTTCTGTATGACTAGTATCACATCTGGCCCCTTCAACTTATTGTGCAATTGTTTCTGCAGGGAGTTGGAATTCTACTTTCTGGGCTGTTCGGAACTGTGAATGGATCTTCGGTGTCCGTGTAAGAGTTTAGCGGAAAATTTTGCTGCCTTCAACAGTCTACTTCGATAAGTACAAAAGTTGTTTTCGTCCCGTTAAGATTTTCTCTTACTTTTTGTGTTCAGTGAAAATGCTGGTCTCCTCGCCTTGACCCGAGTTGGAAGTCGAAGGGTTGTACAAATTTCCGCTGGATTCATGATTTTCTTCTCCATTCTTGGTAACTTTCTAATATGACACACAGATATAAGTGCGCTTTGTAGTCTGCACGTGAGATCCCTTATCGGTTGGAGAGGGAAACGAAACATTTCTTATGAGGGTGTGAAAACCTCTCCCTAACAGACGTGTTCTAAAACCTTGAGGGGAAGTCCTTTAAGGGAAAGTCCAAGGAGGACAATATCTGCTAATGGTGGGTTTGAGCTGTTACAAATGGTATCAGAGCCAAACATGGTGCGGTGTGCCAGCGAGGACGCTGGGCCCCAAGGGGGTGGATTGTGAGAACCCACATTGGTTAGAGAGGGGAACGAAACATTCTTTATAAGGGTGTGGAAACTTCTCCCCAACAGACACGTTCTAAAACCTTGAGGGGAAGTTCTTTAAGGGAAAGCCAATGAGCTAGTGATGGGTTTGGGGTGTTACAAATGGTATCAGAGCCAAACATCGGGTGGTGTGCCAGCGAGGACACTGGGCCCCAAGGAGGTGGATTGTGAGATCCCACATCGGTTGGAGAGGGGAACGAAGCATTCCTTATAAGGGTATGGAAACCTCTCCCTAACAGATGCGTTCTAAAATGTTGAGGGAAAGCCCGAAGAGGACAATATCGACTAGTAGTGGGTTTGGGTTGTTGCACTGAACTCATGAGTTGGGCTGCTAAAATTGTTGTTTATCTGTTCTTTTCATCTGTGGGCTTGCAGGGAAATTTGGAGCTGTCTTTGCATCCATTCCTGCCCCCATTGTTGCAGCTCTATACTGTATTTTCTTCGCATATGTCGGTATGCATCTGTCTCGAGTAAACTGGTCGATAACCAGAGGTGTAAGTTTCGGGTTATCTTGGTCGGGAACTGATTCATTTTGTTTGCAGGCATGGGAGGTTTAAGCTACCTCCAATTCTGCAACCTCAACAGCTTCAGAACAAAGTTCATATTAGGATTCTCCATCTTCCTGGGACTCTCTGTGCCACAATACTTCAATGAGTACACAGCCATTAATGGCTTTGGTCCAGTCCACACAAATGCAAGATGGGTAAGAACGGACTTCCCCTCGTCTTTTTACGAGCTCTACACCGCTCTACACCACACATGTTAAATTCTTACGACAACACTCGCTCTTTTCTTTCTCTGCAGTTCAACGACATGGTCAATGTCCCGTTCTCTTCTGAGCCATTCGTTGCTGGAATCATTGCATATTTTCTGGACAACACACTGCACAAAAAGGGCGACGCGATCAAGAAAGACCGTGGCAAACACTGGTGGGCTAAGTTCAAATCGTTCAAGGGCGATACGAGGAGCGAAGAGTTCTACTCTCTGCCCTTCAACTTGAACAAATATTTCCCATCTGTGTGATTTGTTGGGCTCTCTGTCAATGCTGCTGCTGCTGCCGCTGCTTCATTAAATGGGTCTGTGGAAAATGAGAAGATTGGGTTCATTGTCTTGTTAATTTATTGCGAGTAGCAGCTGTATAAGATAGTTTCTTTTCTATATAGGATTACCTTAATAACTTCATTTCATTGCTTCGCTTTTGCTCTTTTGTATATCCAACGAAGAGGTGGATTTCCATGTGTCTATGAACAAACAAACATCCGTTCAAACTCGAGTATAGTTCAATTGATTATGATATATGTTATCCGCTAAGAGGTCAGACTGAGAACAGGGCACGTGTCACAAGGCGCGACACGTGCCACAATGGGGTGATGCAAATTGTCATAATGTATAGTAAAAAGTAAAAAAATGCCAAATTGTCAAGAATATGCAACTTGAGTATAGTTTAATTGATTATACGGTATACGTTATCAGCTAAGAGGTCAAACAGGTTGAGAATAAGGCACGTGTTGAACTCTAATGGGCAACCGAAAAAGGGAGGGTTATCGGTTTTAGGTACTAGTGGACAGACAAAGGAAGCATCTAACAATTGAAGGCCATTCATTTTCATTTAAGTCTTAGGTGGGAGGGCAATTCAAGATTGAAAAAGGGTGCATTTTGACAAGTCAACCACTGAAATACAAGGCCATGTTGAGCTACCCTACTACCCAAGGGACAATTATGCATGAAAGTGAAGGGCCACATGGAATATTCCACATTTTCATCATTTGGGGAGCTCTCTCTTAATAATTTAAAAAACGCTTTAATTTTCCTTTGAAATCATCAAAATGGTAATGGAATAGAACTTACGCTCCAAACTTTATATAGTATTACAGTGCACGTGATCTAGAACCACACTGGTGTTAGTTACTCATATCTTGCTGGCACATTTCGCTCTCACTCAAAAAAAAAAAATCCACTGTTGCTCCAGACTATCAATTTTCGATATCAACCGTTCCTTATGAACCACACATATGGATGTGACAGACAAATTACACAATTAATGCTTTTCATTTGAAAGAACAAAACAAGAAAACGATTTTTGGAAAAAAAAACAAACATTCAATCAAATTCAAAACTTTTGGAGCGCTTGTCACATTGAAGAACGGTTCAAGAAAACTTTTATTTCCTTCGACATTCGATTCACAGTTTTTTTTTCTCCATATCTTATATCTATTTGAATCATGTTAAGAAACAAGTTTCACAACGCTCGAATTTATATAATTTTTTAGTGTGGTTGGTAGAAATAAACGTACCGATGGAAAGAACGGTTGAAAATTTTTGGTTGAAAAAGTGCATAAATGCTCCAACAAGGTATTAAATTCATGAAAAGGAGGAGAAGAAAAATGGAACCCACTCATTTGTTATTTGTTTATGTGCACCAAAAAAAGGGAAGATATTTATATTTGTTGTATCTCATTCCTTTTGCAATACCTAACCCTCACATGCCTCCATTCTTCATAGTGTTTCTAAGCCTTTGACCAATCAAACTTCTTCATCTTCAAAGTTATGCCTCACATTATTGACACAAAAATCTGGGTTCGTCCGCGTTAAATGTTGTAGCTAAAGTGAACATAATATACCATCGACTAACATGTTAGAGGTTTGAATCTCCCATCCTCAAATATTGCACGGTCTAATTCTGTTAAAAAAAAATGAGAGGAATGAGTATTTTTTAGATTTTTTTTATATTAATAAATAAAATTGATAATAAATTTAAATTAAGAGGAAATCTAAGGCATGAATGCAACTAATTTAGGGATTAAAATAAATTATCTTTAATTTTATAATGAATAAAGATAAAAAAATAAAATAAAATAAAAAGGTACATCTCAACATGTGAGAGGGTGATTTGAAAATAAAATTTGACGCATGTGACAGTTATTCTTTCCATAAAAGCATAATGTATATCCCAAATTTAAGGGTCATGTCTCTTTGAATAACAAGTTTTATTAAAAGTTTTATACACCCTATTATTCTTTCCACTACTTAAATTAATATATTCAAATTTAAAGTTTTAATTAGGTAACCGCTCAGTCAACTGTTAGTACATATTGTCCGTTTTAGCTCGTTATTGTTAACTTCACGATTTTAAAATGCGTCTACTAAGGAGAGATTTCCACACTTTAACCAGAACAAATTATAACACTGTCCATATATATTTATGAATTGAAATTTTGAAAAATAAAATTATAATTTATAATATTTTAATTATTAATATATAATATATTTTAAATAAGAATTTTTATTAAAAAATTGAAGAAAAAGTGAGTGGGCTTCCTACCACTTGGAAGAACATTTATTTTTTGTTTGAATCAACAACAGTTTCGATCCAAATTCAAACAGCCGGAGAACGACAACAATTTCTTTTAAATCTTACGACCTCCATGATATTGGCGAATGCCTGCCAAGAATGTTGTGTTTTGAAAGCGCCATTTTCAAATCGGGTAAGCTTTCTTTATTTTGTCGCATCGATCTTTTAATGGATTATAATATTAGGGTTTCATTTTTCCTGGATCGATTAAACAAGCCCAACAACGGTTCCTACTAAGCATGATTACAATCCATAAGAAAATCCTTTAATTAGGTTAAAAAAAACCAGAAGAAGAAGAAGAAGAAGCTTTTTGGCAGCGAAGGCTGAGGCAGATGGAAGCTTTAGTGAAAAGGGTAAATTTCCTTTTTGAAAGGGAGATGGTTGTAATGAATAGAAAGAGCTCGTAATGTAATACCTAACCAAAAAAGAAAAAGGAGAAAACGTTGAGACTCTGTCTGAATTTCCCTTTGATGCGACAACACTCATTATACTGTTCCGCTTAGGGTTTCTCAACCTTGATTGTTTCATTCTTGGAAGCTATGGAACTTATTTAATTGCTCTGTTTTATGATTTATTTTACTGTTTTGAATGAAAATTCTGAAGGAGATGGGGTTAGGGATTGGATTTAGAGGCGCCCACAAGAATTTTCACCTCCAATTCTGGTCTGTTTCTTGTGGGCTACATGAAAACTACTCCCAGTTGTGTAATCCAAGAAGAACCACTGGAAGTAGAAGATTCAAGTTTTTTTTCTCTTTTTGGGGCTGTGGGAAATCTTTGACATTTTGTGAAGGGAAATTTTGTCTTCTTTGTGGTCCTGTTGAATCATAACTTTGAGAGCATGACATTCGAAATGTTTCCATCCCCATTTCATTTATTAATATTCATAGATTCCTTTTCATTTACAAAGTGGTGTGGTAGTCTTACTTTGAAGAATTCCATGGGGGATATAAAAAAAACCAAACTGAAAAGAGAAAATTATTGGGGAAAGCAAAGCAATGAGACTGTATTCATCATGTAATGCACATATCAAGACTTGAAGCTGTATTTTCACCTTTGGCACCAAATCCCCTGTTCCTCCACCCACCCAATCATATCTCAACACATCATAACTTGTTGGACAATGTTGCCCCTCTTTGTCACCTGAGTAGCCCTTTTAACCCCAAGATCTATTGAATAGATAAGAGGTTAAAGCTGCTGGTGAATGAGTACCTCTCTATCTCTAGTGGCTATAAAAAAAGATTGGTCCTCTTTCCTTGGCCTCCCCTTTTGTTTGTTCATTATCCTCTTCTCCCACAGTTTCATTCCCAGCAGCGAAGAGAGAGAGAGAGAGAGAGAGAGAGAGAGAGTGAGAGATGGGAAATTGTCAAGCCATTGATGCAGCAACACTTGTGATACAACACCCAAGTGGGAAAGTTGACAAACTATATTGGCCTGTGACTGCTAGAGAGATCATGAAGATGAATCCTGGTCATTATGTTGCTCTTCTTATCTCCACCACCATGGTTACACCGAATGAAAGTTCTAATAACAATGAAACCAGCAAGGTTGAGAAAAAGGAGAATGAAGCCAGCAAGGTTGAGAAAAAGGAGAATGAAGCCAGCAAGGTTGAGAAAAAGGAGAATGAAGCCAGTAGTAATTCGGTTCGTTTAACTAGAATCAAGCTTCTTCGCCCAGCTGACACGCTTGTTCTTGGCCAAGTTTACAGGCTCATCACTTCTAAAGGTGAGTTTTATATCTACCACCGTTCTTCCTCTTGTTTCTGTCTGTTTTTCATATCCAACCCATAAAATTCTTGAAATCTCTTAATTTTTTAGTCTGAATTTGAATTAATGGCTTCATTTTCTTTGTGGGTTTCAGAGGTTATGAGTGGTTTATCCGCAAAGAAACAAGCAAAGGTTAAACAAAGCCAGTTAGAAGCCGCTGAGAAGGCAGGGAGGAGGAAAGAACGTGCAGCCAGAGGCTCAGATTCAGCAGCCGCCGCCGCAGCTGGAAGATCTGTATCTGAAGATCCTTTTCAGGTGAATTTTTTAACAAACATCAAAACAATTCTTAACTTTGAAGGGAGTTCTTTTGACGATTGATTTAATTATAATTGTTTGTAAACGACTGCATAATTTTTGTAGGCGACCAAACACGAGAAGAACAACAGACCAAGAACAAGTACATCGACAACCTCGGCCATAGCCAGGTCAAGAACATGGCAACCTTCATTACATAGCATCTCAGAAGCCGGTAGCTAATCATTTATGTTCCCTATTTCCCACATGCTATTGAGAGACAGGGTGGCACAGATTGTCCAAGGGTCTTTAAACTTCTCCAAAGAGGAAAAAAAAAAAAAAAAAAAAAAAACAACAACAACAACGACAAAAAAGAAAAAAAAAGCAGAAAACTGGAGAAAGTGAAAACAAATAAAGTAGAGAAGCCAAATGAGCTTTTTAATTCAAGAAGAGAAATTCCTTCAAGAGCAGATCTGGAAGCAAAACAGCATAAAACCGTGCATAGGAAAAGCAGGGTGGGTAACATCTTTGTAAATTCCAAGTCCTTTTCAGTAATGGCTATTGTTCATTGTGCAAAATGAGAGCTCTGTTTTGATTACCACTCTGTTTCATCTGTTTTAGCAGAATAGAATAGACAAGTGATTGTGCTTACTCTACTCTGTTGTTTTTGTTGTCGTGTTCAAGAACATGTGGAGCTACATATTCGAATCTCTAATTCTATAGTTGAAGATAAATGTTAAAATGAGTTGAGTTACATTGCAGGGTTCATCTATCGAGTTCTTTAAAGCTTACAACTCGGGAGCGCAGTTGAAGTGACGTGGATTTGCTAGCTAGCTAGCATTGTACGGTAATGAGTCATTTCCAGCATACTTTCTTGGAACTAATCAAAATGGATCAATAATTGTGTCCACTAAATGTAGTTGGAAAGCTATGATTGTTTGGAGTTTAAATGTTACCAAGAAAATCAAATGTTGTAGGGTCAATAGTTTGGTAAAATGATTTGAAACATAGAGGTTAAGATATAATTAAAAAAAAGAGCAAGTCCATGCAAGTAATGAAACCTAAGACAAAATGAGTAAAGATTTAGTGCAATGTGACAGTGCCCCTCGTGCATAGCTACAGTTAAATATCATAATTGTGACCTAATTGGGATGTGATGTATCAGCACTACCCACTTTATTTATATTATTTTTTACTCTCATACAATCATTAACTTCATCTTTTTATTTAAAACAAGGGGAATATTCCTCAATGCCCAAACCATCATGATTTTAAAAAGTCCTTCAGATTTGAACTTTTCCTTTTAATTCCCCCCTTACTTCAATCCAAGGAAATTTAGGACGTGGGCTAGTGTGATATTTGTAAGAGTCCATCCCCGCTTCGTTCTCCTCTCCGATTAATGTGAGATTTCATAATTCACTCTCGTTTGAAGTTTAACGTTCTCACTGATACTCGTTTCCCTCTTCAATCGAGGTAGGATCTCACACTTAGGATCAAGAAAATGTTTGAAGGGGTTGGGGCTATAAATATTGAAGGTGAGTATCAAAAGTTTGAGAAGAAACAGAGTGCAATTAGGTTGGATGTTGATAGAAAATGTGCGAGTGTAGTAGGGGCGTTGCTGAAGAAAAGGATGAATCTCAAGAACACTATGGAGACGTGGTAGGATGTTTGATGACTGCAACCAAGAAACTGTGGTTTGTTGACTGACATATTGGCATTGGATAGCTCAAAATCTCGGTGGATTAAACTACCTAAGATGTTACTAAAATGAGACAGATCTTGCGGCTCTTGTTAGCAGACGGCATGATTGGTTTGAAGAGACGGCATGAGATATTGTCCTCTTTTAAATTGCGTCTGTTAGGGAGAGGTTTTCACACCCTTATAAACAATGTTTCGTTCCTCCCTCCAACCGATGTGAGATTTCACAATTCACTACCTTCGGGGACCAACATCCTCGCTGACACTTGTTCTTCTCTCCAATCGATATGAGATCTCACAAACGGATTCTCTACAAGTAGTATAATCTCCATCTTCGACCTGTTTAGCTAATGATTATTCTTTTGAAGCGCATCTTCATGCTCGTTCTTACTATTCTTGAACATAGACCATCAATCAACGTCAAGAACATGCGCATTTGTTTTGAAGGATTGTTGATAAGGCTATAAACAAGAGATTAGTTGATAGGTTAGTTGTAAGAAAAAGGGAAAGGGAGAGTTGGCATGCATGCACACAATATGAAACCAAAGACAAAATGAGGAAGAGATTTAGTGGTGAATTTGACAGCCCCCTCGTGCACTGCTATAGTGCTATAACATAATTGAGGCCAACCTGGTATCCATTCCTATGTCAAACTATTTCATATGGGATTTATGCGAGATCCCACCTCGGTTGAAGAGGGGAACGAAGTATTTCTTATAAGGGTGTGGAAACCTCTCTCTTGTGAACGTGTTTTAAAATTTTGAGGAGAAGTCCGAAAGAGAAAGTCTAAAGAGGACAACATTTGACAGTTGATGGACTTGGGCTGTTACAAATGGTATCAGAACTAGACACCGGGTAGATCCCACATTGGTTGGAGAGGAGAACAAAACATTCCTTATAAGGGTGTGAAAACCTCTCTATAGCGGATGCGTTTTAAAACCTTGAAGGGAAGCCTGAAAGGAAAGTCCAAGAAAGACTATTTATTAACCGTGGACTTGAAGGTTATAATTCCGCTATCAACTGAGCAAAAAAAAGAACTGATACGTGTTTTTCTCTTTCTGGTGTGGAGGTTGGAGGAGAAGAATAAATATCATTAACTTCCTGTTCTACAGATTATGAGGCATATCAAGATATATCTCATAATTTATTGGATCTGTTATTTTGGATGAGATTTCACATCGATTAGAGAAGGGAACAAAACATTCCTTATAAAAGTGCATAAATCTCTTCCTAATAAACGCGTTTTAAAACCATGTGGCTGACGGCGATATGTAACGTGCCAAAACAAACAATATCTGCTAGCGGTGGGTTTGGAGCATTACAAATGGTACCAAAGGCAGACACCAAACGGTGTGCCAACGAAGACGCTAGGCTCCCAAGGAGGTGAATTGTGAGATCTTACATTGGTTGAAGAGGAGAACGAAACATTCTTTATAAGGGTGTGGAAACCTCTCCCTAGTATACGTATTTTAAAACCATGAGACTGAAGGCAATATGTAACAGGTCAAAGCAGACAATATCCACTAGCGGTGGGCTTGGGCCGTTACAAGACACCGAGCAATGTGCTAGCGAGAACGCTGGGTTTCCAAGGGGGTGGATTGTGAGATACCACATCGATTGGAGAAGTGAACGAAACATTCCATAGAAAACTCTCCCCAGTAAACGCGTTTTAAAACCGTGAGACTAAAAACGATACATAACAATAAGATGAAAGAAAGCAGTAAGTTCCTTCACATATAACAAAAAGAAAACTGATTAATGAAAGGATGAAAAGAGGTTATAGTCTGAAGTGAGTGAAGTGGTGTGTGTGTTCTTAGTGAGTCCCTTTAATATGTTCATGATGGTTGTGAAGTTGGGTGAAATTGCCCTTGTGTTTGAAGAGCTGGTTGTGATGATGCCTACAGTATAGTCGATGTTCATGTGCTATGTAGTTTGATGGGCTAATCACACATCCTCCATGTGAGCACCTGAAGCAACCTCTGTGGTATAATTTACTATCTACTGCCACCTGAACCAAACAAAGAGACCTCAAATTCTTACTAAAGCAAATACACTAGGCTTTTATAATGCGTCTACTACGGAGAGCTTTCCACACCCTTATAAATAATACTTCGTTCCTCTCTCCAGCCGATATGGGATCTCACAATCCACCCCCTTTGAGGCCCAGTGTCCTTGCTGGCATATCTTCCGGTGTCTGACTCTAGTACTATTTGTAACAGCACAAGCCCACCACTAGCAGATATTGTCCTCTTTGGGTTTTCCCTTTCAGGCTTCCCTTCAAGATTTTTTAAAGCAGATCTGCTAGGAAGAGGTTTCCTCGCCCTTATAAAGAATGCTTTATTCTCCTCCCCCAACAGATGTGAAATCTCACGATCTCACTTCTTTCTGTCACATGCAATACACAAAGGGATGAAAAGAAAGCCATTCTAGCTCGTCGTGTTGCCAGTGACATGAGTGATCGTTGACCCTGTCCCAGATTTTCTTATTTCTATTTGTGACGTCGAGTGGACTGACTATGGATTCGAGCTTTCTATCTGATACGGTAGGAAAAGAACCTAAAAGACAATATTCAACTATCCTTCCCAGTTTAGAACTTCCAACTTTATCATTCTATGACAAGAAAAACAGAAAAAAGAAACAAGGAAAGTCATGAACCCTTTCATTATTGCCCATTTACCTTCTCAATTGGATAAACAGTTTTCTTGCAAGCAACACATTTGTCTTGAGTTCCAGCAAAAAAGCTTGACACTTTGCTATTGGATTGGCCCTTCAAATTTAAGTCAAAAGCTTAACTTTCATAAACTAATACCAACACCAAGGAGTTGGGTATCAGTTCATAAGCAGTGATTTTAAAAGAATGAAGCAATGAAAAACCTGATTAGTAGATCTGTGTTTCCTAGCAGTTCTTGGAGTTCCTTCAAAACTTTTGTCCAAACTTCCAGTCATCTTGAACAACTGATCAAAGTGAGGTTTGCAATACAAAACACCTTCAAAGGAAGAGTAATTGATCAACTGCAATCACAGAAAAAACAGAATCGTTTCAAGTTACGGGCACCTATGCATATCTGTACTGGTTAAGACATATAGATCCGAGTATCAGAAAAAACAGAATCCGTCCATAAAAGGTATGCATAAGGATCATTTGATATCAATTAGAGATACTGAGTATGAGGGATAGGATCTAGGGATCTATTCTATTCAAAAGATTTACCCTTAGAGTGCTCTTGCAATGGTGGCACCTGAAACAGGCCTTGTGATAGACTTTGCTATCTGCAGTGAGCTGATCAACCAAGTAAACAGTCTTGTCACATGTCTTACACTTCTGGGTTGTCCCTAAAAACGCCATTTTCAAAGAAGAATTTGAGCTGAACTGAACTACGAGGCTGAGAAGAAGGAAGGGAAAGAAGAAGCAGAGGAGCTTTCCTTTGCCCTTTTTAGAGTTGGAAAATTCTGAGTCACAGATTACAGCTCAGGCTTATTCATACAGACAAACTGACAAATTTCCAGCAATGGGTAATTTGAAGATTTGACCAAAAACATAAATTCTCCACTGAACAGCCGTTTACTTCATCATTTTTCATGTCTCATAGCTTTTAATTGCTCACAAAAGTTGAATATTATGCTCCAACCAGTGGATTAATGTGGGTTTTAATGCAATTTTATTGCCATATACGTTATGTTTCAGAGCCAAGTTTATTTTAATGAGAAAATTTGAGGGATGATCTGATCTGTTGAATGAACAATTGATGAGGATTTTGAATAAAAAATTCCGTCTTTGAGCAATCAAATGTGTGACAGATAAGAAATGCATCTATACATGACAACTTTCTAAGTACTGTGGTTCATGATTTGACATATCATAAACTCATCTAACTAATTATTTATGCAAATACAAGGTGTCAATTTCATTATCGGGTCGTTCATTGAATCTAAATCATTACTATTTCTTTTTT